TTCCAAGAAAAGCTGGTATTCTATTTCCGCTTTTTATTAAAATTCAAATAAAAGAAACACAAATAGAAAGTTCCAAATGTACTGACAAAACATTGACATCTTTTTGACGTAAGAAAATCTCGATTAGATAATTTGATCCACCGACATTGACGGATTAGAATAAAATCGGATTAGGAATGATTTTTATTACGGTGCATCGCTAAAAATGGTACTAAACGCGATTAAACCCTTAATCTGGATTAAACGTGTACGGTGCATACGGGCGTTATTAACTACAGAATTATGCTGTAACGTTAGAATATAAAAAACTCTTAAACATGACAAAGTTGCCCATAGTATAAAAATATTCACTTCTCTAGTAATGTTGTCAAGAATCTTTGTCACCTTCCAAGAAAAGCATTTTATTAAAATTCAAATAAAAGAAACACAAATAGAAAGTTCCAAATATACTGACATAACGTTGACATCTTTTTGACGTAAGAAAATCTCGATTAGATAATATCCACCGATGTTGACGGATTAGAATAAAATCGGATTAAGAATGATTTTTATTACGGTGCATCGCTAAAAATGGCACCAGGTGTCCATGCGGTATTCGCCGATGTCATATTTGAATTCAGCGACCCAAAACCTCCCTTTAACGATTTTTGGTTCGTCTTTTTCAATTGGGTCTGAAAACCTCGGTAAAGAAGTTTAGGGCCAGGTTAGGGCGCACCAAGTGTTCGGGGGGTCGTTTTCCACGTGAAATTCAGATTCAGCGCCCCAAAAAACCCCCGGAACGATTTTCGGTTCGTCTTTTTCAATTGTGTCTGGAAACTCCTTGGGGATGACGTTCAGGGCCAAGTTCCGGTGCACCAGGTGTTCAGGGGGTCGTTTTCGACGTGAAATTTAGATTCAGCGCCCCAAAAAATTCCGCTCAATCATTTTCGGGTTGTTCTTGTCGATATTGTGAGGAAAATTCTCGGAGATGACGTCCAGGTCGAGGTTTGGGCGCACCAGGTGTCCGGGGTGTATTCGACGATGGGATTCAGCGACCCAAAAAACCCCGATCGCCCAGTTGCCCTCCTTCCCCGCGTGAATTTTGGAAGAGTCCCAGGAAGATGACGTTCGTCGACATTCCTGAGCTCCAGGTCGGCTGTGGGTCAATTTAGACATCATAATCGTGATCAGGGACCTCGAAAACCCCCGAGCACCCGATCTGGGCTAGTTCTGACACTTATTTAACAAGTTTTGAAATCATCCAAGAGGCCTCCGGTTTGTATGACCCGGAAATTACGGGGGAATGATACAAATAATTTTTGCAAGCGAATGCAAAATAACAGCATTCCGATCCGACTTGCACGGAAATACCCAGGAACTTTGGCCTTTTTAGTGCTTCATTGCTTCGACTATGTGCATAGATCCCAGTATTGAATTGTATGAAGCCGAGTCAAAGGCTCCTTTTATATCTAGGAAGACTCCTAGTGCTATTTCTTTGCTTTCCAATGCTTGTTCAGCCTGTTGAGCTAGCTAATGTATGGCTGCATCGCAAGACTTTCCAGATTGGTAGGCAAACTGGTATCGATGTATCGGTTTATCCCGTACAACATCGTCCCGTATATATCTATCGATCAATTTCTCCAATGTTTATAGGAGAAATGATGTTAGGCTGATTGACTGAAGTTGGCATGTCTAATGACAGCGCAGTTAATTTTCTATGTAAGTCAATGTAAAATAGTTATATTTTTAAAGAATTGATGAAAAGAATCAAAATAATATGGAAAAAAGTACCTGAGTACAAGTAATATGAGTGACAAAAAACATCAAAGCAAGATTTACGTCGTTTCAGATTATAAAACAGGATAAAATCAAATGTAACACTAAAGAAAACACAAGAAGAAATTAATTCAATGTCTTTTTAAAGCTTTTAATGTAAGTAAAATAATGTATTCATGTCTAAATATAATATTTATTGTAAACTAGTCACAATATGTATCTTACGAAGTGTAGTTTATTTTATTACAAGTTTAATTTTACAGTTATAGATGCTGACTTACTAGTATGAGAGACCACTGCAAATTTCGACCGTCATCTGATAACGAAATGAAATATGCTCCAAAAGCATGTAACAACATTGTAGTTTACCAAATTGCACCTGTGCCAATCCCTAACCTGAGCAAAGTGGTTAAAAAAATTATTTTATATTCAAAAAATCACATAAAACATGACAGCGACAATTATATTTTCCCTGAAAATTACAATCCTAATTCATTGTGAACCTAGCTTTTAAACCTGAATTATTAATATTTTTACCTACCTTTTAAACCATGTTTATGTATGAAAGGAAGAAGGATGGCATTATATAAACCATTTGCAGAGATAGTCAATAATAATTATAAAATCTTGTTAGACAATTATTTTAAACCATAATCATAGTAGTTTTTTTGTCGTTTCTATGGCAACCTGTGAAAATGAATCACAACAATAGGCATACAAATAAATGTTTAAATCAGCGAACATTGATTCATATTTTTAATGATATTTACCTACTAATCGTGGATAGATGTTTTTGTGCGATGTTAAGAGGAAGAAAATGTTTCCCTTTAACGATATATATCAAAATATATTTAAATAATATTTTCTGGAAAACTTTAAGGGCAAACAAAATTAGCGCTGTCATGCCTTATGTGATTTTTTTAATATAAAATAATTTTTTTAAGCCACTTTGCTCAGGATTGGGATTGGCACAGGTGCCATTTAGTAAAGTACAATATTTTTCCATGCTTTTGGGGTATATTTCATTTCGTTATCAGATGACGGTAAAAATTTGCAGTGGGCTCTTGGGCTATACAAACAACAATAATTATGCATTAAATTTAACTTACTAGAAAATAAAATTTATTTTTTATAGACTTTAATGTTATTTTTTTTTGGACCCCAATTGTGTCATTGTAAATGTTTTTTATAGGATACTAAACATTTAGAGCAGTGGCAGCATATATATATTGTTCCTAGTGCCGATAAAGCACTTTCTAGAGATGATGCTGTTCTATACTTTTTAGAAGATATTATCAAATATTATGAGACTATTTTTACTGATAGTCCAGGATCCGTAAGTAAGGTCGACCTTCACCCATCTGTTTAATAGATAAAAGTTTTTTTTATTAAATAAAATATGTTTTTAAATATACCGCAAATGGGTGGTTGCTAATGAAAATACAGTCAGGGCTATTTTTTGCTTTCCTTTCTGTATACAGATAAGGAAAGTATAGGAATCATGATTAGTTACTACTAAAGTTACTTATGATGCCATTCTCTATTATTTTGTCCCTATACTTAATTTCCCTAAAATGGGCCTAATTCGAGATATTTGAGGAAAACTGCAAAATTCGAATTTTGAAGACAACCCAAAAATGGATAAAGAGAAAAACACCAAATTTTAAACTTAAGCTTTAATCTATCATACGGTAAGTTGATTAAAGTTTAGGCATTGTCAAAGCATCTGGGGAATACTTTACAGGGTGTCGTTTTTTTTATTTTAAGAAAATAAATAGTCTGGACCGTATTTTTAACCGACTTCAAAAAAGAAGGAGGTTATCAATTCGTCGCGATATTTTTTTTTTTTATGTATGTTCAGCGATTATTCTTTAACACGGTGTCCGATTTCAATGATTCTTTTTTTGTTAGAAAGGGGGTATTTCAGGGGTGGTCCCATATAAATTTAGTCAAAATCTAATAATTGGGTCCATGAGAAAATCCTCAAACTCTTCATTTTTTATGTATGTTCAGCGATAATTTTTTAACACGGTGTCCGATTTCAATAATTCTTTTTTTGTTAGAAATGGGCTACTGTAGGGGTAATCCCGTATAAATTTTGTTAAAATCTAATAATTGGATCCATGAGAAAATCTTCAAACTCTTCATTTTTTATGCATGTTTAGCGATAATGCTTTACCACCTTGTCCGATTTATACGATTCTTTTTTTGTTAGTAAGGGGGTACCTCAGGGTTGGTCCCATATAAATTTGGTTAAGGTGTGGCATCTGCACGTTTTTGAAGTCGGTTTTTTAAAATTTTTAATCTTAGGCAAACCTTTTGCGCTATATTTATAAAAAAGTTTTATTTATTAAAAAGAAACTTTCATCCATTAAACAGATGAGTGAAGGTCGACCTTACTTCGGATCTTAAACTATGATGGTAGTGTTAGCAAAATATAAAGGGAAAAGCGGAAATTAAAGGATGAGGTAATACCATGCACATTCCCAAATGTCCCTTTATACTTTTATTAAAACAATAAAAAATCTGTTAACTGTTTTTTATTTTACTCTTAAAACTATATATTGGTTCAATTCAAAAAAAAAATTGCCACAAAAAAATTTCAGCAATTAGGAAACCTTTTCGAATTTGGTCATACATACCTAATTTGTATTTTATATAGATAAAATTAAATAATTTATTAATTAAAACATGCAGGACTTATTTAGAAATAAATACAACAGTATGTTATGTGCTTTACTTAGCTGTAAACAAGTTTATTTTTATTATTTTGACAAAATAATGTATAATTCTCATAAGAAGCCATGTATTGTGAACAACGTATGCAGTACCAGCACCCCATGCGGTTAATTATAGAAGCTCAATTAGCATGCGTTTTTTGGGACCATATTTTGAGTATGCCGATTCGTCTTCTTATCTCTAGTCTTTGTAATCCTAACTTAATAAAATTTGACCACAAATTGTTCAACTTTAGAATGTCGATAACTTCACTTTCTGTTGCCAAGTTTGGTACTTCGCAATTTTATTGGACACACTGTTGATCCCATATTGCCAGTCTTTTTTTCGACCTCATCTATAAACAGCCTTATGTCGAAGCAATCTATTATGCATGTCCAAATAGCACAACTTCCGCAAAACAATGTCGAAAGGTGGTTAACTACATATATATTTATTTCTAAAAATTTTATAGTTTTAGGGCAAACTCTATATGTGTATAAACAATAAATGGTGAACTTATTTTTCAGTTACAATCGCCGTAGATTAGACGAACTTCCCTACCAACACTACGAATTGCATTCTAACCTAGAAAACTCCATCTATCTCAGCGATCCGTCATGGATCTACGACAAAGTCTGCGGCTCCAACTGCTACCAGATCCTCGAAGACATCAACCTCCAAGCGACAATTTCTAGTCAACTAACCCACATCCTGCGGGACTTCATCCAAACGCACGCCGCCATCTTGAATTATGACGGGAAGCAGTTCTACTCGCACATGTACAAATACCTCAGCGATAAAATTAACAAACGCGAAATTAGCATAGAGAATAACGATAGTAGTCTATCGAGGGTGTACAGTGTTTGTAGAGACCCGCCGGTGTTGTCTTTGATTGCTGTGAACGAGGCGGATTTGGATAGTGCGGAAAGTGAGAAGTGCGCAGACGCGGTGAAGGATCAGAAAACTTTTGATGTAGTGGTGCGGTTGCCGAAAACTGATCAATTTATCGTTACCGTGTCTACGAATAGTAAAGAACTTTGTGTATGGGACGTTATCAAGTAAGTTTACAGTTAGATTAGATTGAATTAGATTTCAAAGGAGTTGGATAATAGAGAGTTGAAGTGATGATAGGAACGTAAACGTATACGTGAAAATTGACATCTACGCATGCGCATTCAAATATCCGTCACGTTCCCAGGTAGCACCTGACGTCCATAAGTCGTCCGTAAGACGTCAGCGCATTCGTCTAAGGGACGCCTATTGAACGTCCAAAATGACGTCTAAAAGACGCAGTAATGTCACATCCAAAAGACGTCATATAAATGACGTCTTTCGGACGTCATATAAATGACATCTTTCGGACGTCTATTTTTTAAAGAATTTGACCTCATCCAGACCAATATGTCGGCAGGCAACTGACGTCCAAAAGACGTCATTTAGACGTAAACGCTTGGACGTTCATAAAAGCCTTTAGGGTGCGCATTTGATTTGATTAGCATAAGTACAATGTATTTATACTTTATCTATTTCTAATTGAACTAGTACAAAAAACTGTAGCCGACATTCCCTTTGAACTTTTGCCCCGAGGCACCAACATGCCGGTGGCTCTGAGCAAAGGTTTAAAGCGAATGTCAGCCACAGTTTTTTGTAGTGGTTCAATTAGAAATAGATAAAAGTATAAATATCAATACAGATAAGAAATAATACACGAGTTTCTGAAAAAAAAATGTATGTTGGTGAAAAAGCATCTTTCAAATAAAAGAGTAGAAATATATTATAATTTTTTATTTTAAATACATTATAAAAAAACTCATTAATACAAAAACTATATGTCCTAAAACTACCCAACAAAATTTCTTTGGGCGATTCTGCATATTAAAAACAATAAATATGTTGTTTTTTTAGGAATTAAATCTCCAAGTAGATAGACACCTTGTAGAAGTGGGGAAAAATCAAATTGTACTTAATACAAATTATGTAATAGAGGAAATGTTATAAAATTCTTTTTATCAATTAATTTATTTGGAAACAAAAAGCATTTGTTCTTAATATCTGAAACAGACCAACTTTCAAACATCTGTGATAAATTTGAAACAACAAATATATCTAGATCTTTGGAATCAAGTGGGTAAACATAATATGACTCATAATTCAAAAACTTTTTTCCTATTAGGAAGATATTTCCATCTGTGGTAGTGCAAATATTATTAATCTCAGCAACATCTCCAGATTTTGTCATAAAGTAAGAATTTGCAAACGAATGGCTTGTAACACTTAAAGTAAAGTTTGTACCAACCATTTTTTTGAATTGTTTTATAGTATTTAATGTCAGAACAGGACCTTCATTATGTTCAATATTTAACACATAATGATCTTCAATTACTTTTGATTTCGCATACAAAATGTTTCTTTCAATCAATCTACGATGAATTTGTTGCAATGGTTTTTGTGGAGATCTAACACAACTTTTAATAAAACCCAAAAAATTTTCAAATGGGAAGGCTGAGAATGAGTCCAATGTTCCAAATTTAGTACATTCATTTGCTAGGTGGCATAAAACATGTGTGTTATAAACATAAAAATTCGAACCATATATGTACTCACAATGCTCAATAAAAGTATTTAGTATTTTGTGTGCATTTTCAGCTCCAAAACATGATAGATGCATGTCTGAAACAAGTAAAGTAATACCGACGTGCAATAATAAAAAATGTTCAAAAACTGAAATGTCAGTATTATCCTTAAGGACAAATGGCCCAAAATATAACAAGAAATTGCGAAACTCTGTAGCTTTCCAGTAAGATAAATCTGACAAACTCCTGGGTTTTCTATTAAACTCTGCAGGAATAAAGGGTCTTAAATAGAGTAAGTTTTCACTCCACAATGCAACAGTTGCATGCCTTACTCGGATTTGTAAACCTCCTGATATCCAGGAAACAAGCATTTTCTTCATTACACCTAAGCATACAGCATGCATATAATCAATGGTAAAGGTTGAAACTAGGCCTATTTTTAAATCAAGCAATGGAGTTTTTTCCATATGATGTTCTGTGTCCTCTTCTTTAACAAACTGTTCATCAGTCCTTAATGAACTAGAGGTACCTTTAAATATAACTTTTCCTCCTGTGTGACTGTAATCACCAAATTCCCAACATTTGTCACAAGAAGAATATCCTCCATGAGACTTGATACCTTTAATGTAAGCTTTAGCAGGTGCATCACAAATAAAATTTAAAATTTCAACAGAGTAATTCATATTATGCAATATGAATCCAGAAATTCTTAAATCAATCATTTCATCAATAAATTTTTTCAAAAATTTTTTTAATGGTGATGGCTTACTATTACCACAGAATATACCTATGACAAATGGCGAACTTGCAAAGTTTCTAATCAAACCTAAAATAGGCCAAAACTGAAGTTTTGAGCTAGAAAAAAGAGGTATTCCATCAATATTAATACTTAATTTAATTTTTTCGTCTTTGCATGAAGAAGGTATTAGATGTATTAAAGCATTTTGAATTCCAAAATGACAGTACTCACCATTATCTAAATTCTGAAAGACTCCAAATCTGGGAGTTTTTAATAGTGACCTACTATCTAATGGAAGTTCGGGATGCAAGGGTTTTAAAATTCTTAACAGGCTAGTTATAGAAGAATGTGAAGCTTTTGATTCCAGTGCCCATTCTTGTAACTGAGTATGTAAATCAGGTTTCATTAAAGCATTACTGTTATCTAATGAGACGTTTGCTGAGCATTCACCATTTAAAGTATCAATATCTGGTATTGAGGAATTAAAATTACTTAAAGGTTCAACAATATCAGATATTTCATTAGACTGAAAGTTATTTTCACTTGGAACATTTCTAAAATTACTGACAGGCTGAGAGCAAGAACTTTCTTCAGCACTACTTGCGGTGTGAACTAGTTCTGTTATTTCATCATTTACGATATCAACATTATTGCTACATATTGCTTCAAGCACAACTTGATTTTCCTTCGCAATTCTTCGATACAGTTGTCTTTTGGAAATATCCAACTTTAATTTTTTGTGTTTAAACATTTTAATTCAATAAACCAAAAATAATACAAACGTAAGTGAGAAAAAACTATTCAGATGGAAACTTTTTTAAACATTTCCATGCAAAAAAATCAAATATAATACAAACGTTAACAAGTGAGAAGAAAAACTATTCTATTCTGATGGAACTTTTTTAATTTTCATTCTATCTGGTGCGTGCTTCATCCATGTTTTAATAGTATCCTCAATTTCAGTAATCGAAGCACCTTCAATTTTAGATTGAAGTGATTCTGAAAGTAAGAGAAACAGTCATCACATGGGCAAGAATTACACAATTTTTTACTCAAATAACCTTCCTCCTATTATTTTTCAAGAAGTAGTTATCTAAATTTAAGAACCTTACCTATAATTGCCTTGTTTAGACAAAGTTCCGAAAATGGTGCTTTACCCCTCTTTCCAAAATAACTGAACTGACTTGCTAATTGGTTAGTCAATAGGTGCCTTAAAATTTTATGAATCTTAGTTTTTAGATTGTTTCCTCCAATGCAACCCAGGAAATTTACCTAAAAAGTACAAGGTACACTTACATGTAATAGTAGTTTGTACCACAAGTGCACAAAGTGATAGTTTCCCACGACCATTGAAGTTTGCAAACATAAGCCAAAGGGCAAGTGTTTTGTAAATCAAGTGAGTGGAAAAAGTACTTATTTGTGCACATGTTGCAAACAATATAAAGAACGGAATATCAAATTCAGACCAAATTTTGCAAACATATTTAGTAGATCAATGTTCTCTATTCTGCAAAATATTAAAACCCATTGGCGAACGTTAAGGGGGTATTTACAAGGTATGAGCATTTAAAAAAAATCGTAAAAAATAAACTGATTCAAATATAATTTTGAATATAAGTAAACTAGAGAGACCTGCTTAATTAGAGTAAACTCATTGGTTTACATTAAGGGTTTTATTTGAGTTTAATACTTTGTACAGTAGAGTAATATTTTTTATAAAAAAATATAAAACCCATTGATTGGTGTACTTACCAATATTTTAAAATTACTTTCATTTTCTTTCAAAAATACTTCTACATCCTTCAAATCATTTTCTTTTCCTATTGGAAGATCCACTGGTAAAGGGTTTTTTATAGGGTTACAAATTTCAAAAACTTGTGAACCTTTGTTAAATACAAAGTTTTCTATATTTCCAACCTTCTCCAATAGGATTTTATTCTGCTCTTTTATGGTATTAAGTATATTAACCAATGTTCCCAGATCTAAAAAGTGTTCGCCAAAAATTTTCAAAAATCCTAGGTAGTTTATTTAAAAAATATATTTACTTGAATCTGTTATAGAGGTTTGTGCAGATGCAGATGCTCTAGATGCCTTAGGAGTTGAGGGTAAATTTTGAGGTGGGGTGACAGCAGTGGTTCTAGATATTTGTCGCTTTTCTATAGCACCTAAAATAAAAAACAAACCTTTTTATCAAAGAATGATATAAAAATATTTGTGACATACACAAAAAAAAATATTTTTTCCATCAAAATGAATGTTGGAACTGTTGATCTAAAGTACCTACTAGCTAGATGTCTTATAATGAAACATAATTGATTTTGGTTTGTGGAAATACAAAAAATATTTGAAAAATCTGTTGAAATGATAAAATCTTTCAAGTTCAAATTATAAAATATGTATAATTATTGCTATAATTCACCTGACAACTTCTTTATTTTGATCTGTGGAGGTCTGGAATATCTACTCTCCTCATCACTATCATCACTATCCGTTAAAATAACCCTCCTGATGATTCTCTTTGTGGGTCTATTACTTGCATTTTCGTCTGTGTCATTGATGTCACTAAAGTTTTGAGCCTCCTTCTCTTTACGGAAAGCCTTTTCTATATCATCTAGATAAAATACATTTTGTTAGGAAGTTCTCATATAATCATAATATGTAAAACAGTATCTTGTAGTTTAGGTAAGTATCCCAAATATTCTAGGTTATGAAGAGAATGTCAATGTGATGCATACAGCGTTGCCAACAAGCTGTAGTGGATGTATTTTGCAAGAAATCGAAAAGAAACAAATTAATGAATATAAAAGATTTTTATCTAGTAAAAAATAAAATTCAATATCTCTTTTTGGTAATCTTGTAGTTTACGGTCCTTTTAATGCGCATGTCCGTACCATTCTGTACTGACGTCTAGAATTTGAATTTAACATGTACCATCCTTGCCAAACTTCCACTTTTATTTTAACGAGGTATTATAAAATAGCAGTTTGTTAATTGTCATCCTGTGTATTTTCTTGTACGTATCATTGTGTGTTATATTCGTATTTATAATTATTAATTTTTATTTTATTTTTCTAAGTATTGTTGTTTATTATTTTTTGTCGCAGTATTTTGTGTTGTTTATTTACGTGTGGTGGAAACTTAAAATAAAATATTTAAAAGTGTGACCGTATTACATTAAAATCGGCCCGACATTTTTTATTTTCTTTTTAAGGGGTTTATAATTGATGTAAAAATTGGTAAATAAATGATTAAAAGTAAAAGTTATATCAATTTTTTCCCTGATTTGAAATATTAATATAAACCTGGCAACCATGTAGTGATACCAGTTGTCAGAGCGAGTCAGAGCAGGAATGGTGCGGACATGCGCATTAAAAGGACCGTAAACTACAAGATTACCCTTTTTTTTTTATTCTAATAAACAACTTTTTCTAGGATTTTATAGTCAAAAATAAGTTCCAAATATCATTTTTTATCAGTTGTTCTGGATAACCAAGAAAAACTGACAACATATACCATGAAATGGAAATCACAGTCATTCTGAGTGCGTCAACAGTTACGCAGAAAGCCGTAAATTTGGTTACCTTTACCTTAAACTGAAAGATTGCCTCCAAAAGTTTTATTTGAGGAATACACTTACCGGTTTGAAAAAATATCTTTTTTACCCCGTAAACTTTCCAAATCTCCGAATCCACTTCCTGATGCTCGGCCAAAGCGCGCCGAAAAATTCTTGTATCTTTCAGTGGGGGCCAGTAAACTTGTCTCTTCAAAGGAGTCAACCAGTTTTCATCTACAACTGCTACACTGTTATCCCCCGTTTCATCAAACTGAATGACATAATACATGGTAACAATGTAAACTAACACACACTCACTTAAAAATATAATCCTCATAGATAATCCTTAAAGCAGCTCAAGTCACAATCACAAAATCGGCGTCACCTTTACATGAACGTTCTTGCTGTCGTTTTTGCAAATTGGCGGTAATGTAATGGCGGTTGGCGGTTAACCGGCGGTTAACCGGGTTAGCCGTTCGTCGTTACTCGTTCGTATTCGTTGCCCCTGTACTCATCAAGACAGCGTTGCCGACGAGACATCTCATAAAATTTTGTTACAAGTCCAAATAAGGAAACGGGTAACAATTTAATTACATTTATTATTGTAATCCTTTAATAAGTGCCAATATCTTTTAAATTCAAATCAAATAATTGCAGTAACATTTTAGTATTCAGAAAATAATTATTTAAATGACGATGTTAGCAATAATACTGAGAATATGAAAATTTTATAATGTGACAACAATGCGTAAATGTCAAATTAATCAATATCAGTATTACGTATAACTCTACTCTTTGGTATTACCATATTACCAACAAACCTTAAACCATTAAAGGCTCTAGGGATTGTTTTTCTCCATTTCATAGTTTCAACAAATAAAAAAAATTAAACTTGATGTTTTTAAAGATTTAAATTATTTGTCCACAAAAAGACGTCAGAAAGACGTCTCTACACTTGACGGCCAACTGACGTCACTTAGAATGACGTCCCAAAGACGTCACTTTTTGGTCCCATGACGTATGTGACCAAAAATGACCAATAATTGACGTTCTATTGACGTCATTTACGTCTTGGTGGCTACCTGGGGTTCAAGTCTACGTACATACGTAAGCTTGAGGGATCTGGCGTATGCACGTAACGCAAATAACATAACCTCTCTTTTAATTGGAAATAAAGAAATCCTAATAATAATTGTCATTATCTGTCACGACACGTAAATGTCACGATGCGTTTAACAACTTCAACTCATATTTTTGACTATACCGTAAACATTATTTTTGTGCGTTGACGTTCACGTTTACGTTAACGTACTGGAAACATTTCAACTCTCTAATATTATTTGTCCTTGTCCACCACGACCTTTTCAGATCTATTGTAGAGCTCCATTATTTAGAGTGTGTCATCAAGCTTGGTCTTTTATATTAGAGTTAGTCGCTTTGACAGTGGCTCATGTATCTAGCTAAGAGCTTCTGGCTTTTCTTCAGATAGTATTAGAAACCTCAATCTAGCCAGGCTTCACACTGATGCAGGACGTGGATTAAATGTTTTTTTTATTTTTCACAAAACCTGCTCGATTGTGTCTATGCTGTATTGATGACAATTATGTGCCTCTTGAGCCGATAGTGTCAGATAAGATGTGTCGTGTATGATCCAGTAGGTCTTTCGTGAACTTGGTCAACAGTTTTTTAATGAACTCTTTGTCCTATTTCAATCCTGGATAGTTGTTACCCCATTCCTTAGACTCTTTTTGCATTAATTGTTTGAGGGATGTCTTTCACAATGACAGCAACTCCACAGGATTTTGGACTTGTCATGGCCATATCTGAGCCTTCTCGGGCTAATTCGTCGGCCTTTATATTGCTCTGGTCTTCGTGGCCTGGTGTCCCTTTGTTTTGGTCACTTAGTTCTATCAGGTCTTCTTGGCAGTCTTTACAATTGGTCCAGTGGTTCTTTAACAAATTTAGATCACTATACAGTGAAACAAAGACCTACAGACCTATGTCTAGCGTTAGTCTTCATAACTTCTAAATGGATTTTAGTATATACCTACTGATTGCTTTTTATTTACTTTTATGCTATGACTGAGAATACCTATTTTTAACTTATTAATGGAACAAATATCTAGAATGTTATTAAGTTTATTCAGTAAACTTCCTCCTGTTTTGAGAGAAACTCAGATCAGACACGCAGTCGATCTTCCAGACGTATATCTGTTCTTTCAGCCGTATATTTCCCGTGAGTTTTTACATGTGCGTTATATCTAATATGCACATGAAATGTGTCAAGAAATTATAGTCAAAACAAAGTATGTATGTAGTTAAACATAATTTTTGTCTTATTTCAGTTGCCAACCCGTTCGGATATTACAAGGGGTGCCCAATCCCATCAATTTAATTCCAATAGATCAATTAAAATGTATAGTACTGTGTAGGAGAGAATTACGAACGTTTGATTTGAATTCTGGTAGTTTTTTAACAAAACTGAAGGGTGTCATGAACCAAAAGATGCCCTTCTACGGGCTACACGACCAATCCCATTTAGTGGCACTCAGTAGAAATAGGATGTACATAAATCTTATGAATTTGGATAGTGGTAAGTTTACTTCTTACAGCAGATACATAATAGTATCCCTTATTTGTACAATTTTTATATTTTAGGTGATTGCGTTACTACATTCAAGGCGGGGGAAGACCGCTTTCTCAATTCCCTGCTAGTTTCGGGGGATGGGAGGTAAGTTATGAATTATCACTATAATATACCATTATATCTCTAATACTGCCGGTAATGGAACAATGGTCTTTAAATGTTGATTCTTTTTCAGAGTCCTTGTTTGTGGTGACGAAACTCAAAAGCCATTTCCGTTGTTAGTGTGGAACTTAAAATCTAGAAAATTATTATACGATCTCAGAATTCCCCATCATCATTTTATCACAGCATTATCTGCCATTACATACGAAGGTAAGGAGAACATTTTTAAAACAGTTTGGTGCATAGACATAATTCATTTTTTTCTACGATCACTATTCAAAGTAGGCTTTTGCACTTCGAAACTCAACCGCAAAGTTGACGTTTTCCGCGAACTGACATTAAGTGACAGTTTTGTCGATCGCTGAGCGGAAAACTTGACAGCTTTTTCGTACGCCTAATTTAAATTAAATATAATATAATATTTCCTTTTAATAAATGATTTTGACGTTATTTGTAAGTTATTATCCAAGTTAAAATTGACTTTGAATATCAACTCTTTTTTTTCAGTTTTTATATCTATTTTTTAAAATAATGTGATCGTAGAAAAAATCTTGTGTGCATTTTGAGCGAAAAGTTCTTTGCCGCTTTCGACAAATTGCCGCACTCCGCTACGCGTCACGCGGCAACTTTATGTCTCATGCGGCGAAGTATCACTTTTCGCTCTTATAATACAAATAGCTATTGTGTGTCTAAAACGTGATATTCTAACATGGATATCTAAATTCGTTGGTAATATCTAATATATCCACTTTACAGAATGACTCAAATGTATGGAATACATTTATTATGAAAATCAAAAATATAAGACTTTTGAAACACAAACAGGGCCGTGAAATACCTCATTTGAAAGGTTTCTTAATTGTCTTTTCAAATATGTAATTATTCTAGTATTTATTTCTACCGGGTGAACCAAAATAATGTATTTAGTAATTTACAATGAAATTATAATTAATGTTTAAATCGATGACCTTCAGAAGTGATACAATGAGAAAGCCGGGCAGTAAATTCTTCTCTAACGTTTTCGATAACTTCGGGGGTTATTTGTGCAATATCCGTTCTGATACGCTCTCTTAACTCTTCTAGATTATTTGGTCGACTCTGATCGAGTTTCCCCATACCTCCATGCAAAAAATGTGTTACTCTATTACTATGAGAAAAATACATCTGGTCGCAGACTAAAGCAAAAACATTACCAAAATGTATAAAGTCGTCATTTCTTAAAATAGCTACTGTGAAAAATACGTTCAACATATTTCGCTGACACCTCTGGCTAACTTTGCCTTGACTTCATTTTAATACAATACAATACAATGCAATGCAATACAATGCAATGCAATGCAATGCAATGCAATGCAATGCAATGCAATGCAATGCAATGCAATGCAATGCAATGCAATGCAATGCAATACAATGCAATGCAATGCAATGCAATGCAATGCAATGCAATGCAATGCAATGCAATGCAATGCAATGCAATGCAATGCAATGCAATGCAATGCAATGCAATGCAATGCAATGCAATGCAATGCAATGCAATGCAATGCAATGCAATGCAATGCAATGCAATGCAATGCAATGCAATGCAATGCAATGCAATGCAATGCAATGCAATGCAATGCAATGCAATGCAATGCAATGCAATGCAATGCAATGCAATGCAATGCAATGCAATGCAATGCAATGCAATGCAATGCAATGCAATGCAATGCAATGCAATGCAATGCAATGCAATGCAATGCAATGCAATGCAATGCAATGCAATGCAATGCAATGCAATGCAATGCAATGCAATGCAATGCAATGCAATGCAATGCAATGCAGTGCAGTGCAGTGCAGTGCAGTGCAATGCAATGCAATGCAATGCAATGCAATGCAATGCAATGCAATGCAATGCAATGCAATGCAATGCAATGCAATGCAATGCAATGCAATGCAATGCAATGCAATGCAATGCAATGCAATGCAATGCAATGCAATGCAATGCAATGCAATGCAATGCAATGCAATGCAATGCAATGCAATGCAATGCAATGCAATGCAATGCAATGCAATGCAATGCAATGCAATGCAATGCAATGCAATGCAATGCAATGCAATGCAATGCAATGCAATGCAATGCAATGCAATGCAATGCAATGCAATGCAATGCAATGCAATGCAATGCAATGCAATGCAATGCAATGCAATGCAATGCAATGCAATGCAATGCAATGCAATGCAATGCAATGCAATGCAATGCAATGCAATGCAATGCAATGCAATGCAATGCAATGCAATGCAATGCAATGCAATGCAATGCAATGCAATGCAATGCAATGCAATGCAATGCAATGCAATGCAATGCAATGCAATGCAATGCAATGCAATGCAATGCAATGCAATGCAATGCAAAGCAATGCAATGCAATGCAATTCAATGCAATGCAATGCAATGCAATGCAATGCAATGCAATGCAATGCAATGCAATGCAATACAATACAATACAATACAATACAATACAATACAATACAATACAATACAATACAATACAATACAATACAATACAATACAATACAATACAATACAATACAATACAATACAATACAATACAATACAATGCAATGCAATGCAATGTATGATCAGCATGCACTCTTAGTCCGTTACTGCTCAGATTCCAAGGCGAAATCTCCACCTCCATCTATCTCACTCACTTCAATAAACGCTAGAAATAAAATCTATAACCGAAAATTATTTTTTAAAAACTTTTATTTAACTTAAAATACAAAAATATAGATGTGTATGCTTTGAATGCTAACTAGGAACTCCTCTGAACTGATTACAACTACTTTTATATAAACAACTATTCTAAACTGTTAACTATGCAACATTGTATATTTAATATATTTTCCATTAGTATGGGTGATATAACTCCTCCCCCTGAAGATCCAGGTTCCGAGGGCTAGCGAGGAAGATGGACATCTTGTAGGTTGAAATTTTCTTCTATACTTCTTGGATTTTCTTTAAGTTTTTTCCATCTTTTAAATAGCCAGAAGATAAGGATAAAAATTAATATAATATAAATAATAATAGTCCATGAGCTTGGTACATAGGGAATGGTTTTGGATTCGAAATTTGGTTGATTTTGAGTTATGTTTTCTCGTAGAGTTTGAAGGTCATCTAGATTGATGGGTTGCAATTTCACATTGTGAGTGGACCATTCTTTTTCGGTAATTTGGTCGTACATTTTTGGAAATAGAATTGGTTGATTCTCGAATGAATTTGACTCTGCATTAACAATGGTTTCTTCTTCAGTTATAATTTGACAATTTGTTGGAATTACGGCTAGGAAGGTTCCGAACAGCTTAATTATTTCTTCTTGAGAATTACATTTAAGGGTTAACGTAATTTCTTTGGGTAGGACCAAAATCCATTGATTAGTTTGTTCTAACCTCGTGAATGAAGGGCGTGATACGGTTATGGATACTTGTGGACATGTAAAGGTAGTTTCGTAGTTTAGAAGTTGGATCTCGCAGGAGCTGTTCTGATTTATTTTTCTGAGACTGGTTGGGTCACAAATGTAGTTTTGGCTTGACATCTTGGTGCAGGAGTTACTCAAAAAAGCGTAGTACAATTTATTTTGTACAACATATTTATTTTCCGGGTTAATCGCCTTAAACTGACCTTTTTTCAAAATAGGTATAGGATATAAATTATATAGGGTTAAGTCTACAGGTATAGTTATTGGAATATGCAATATATACGTTATTCTATTATTAGAAAGAAAGCAGGATATTTTTATAATCTTTTGCAGAAATAATACATTACTTAAGCTTAAACTAACTGGTATTTCTTTTTTATTATAATCTTTAAATACGGTTTCCAAAATTCTGTATAAATCTTTGATTGTAATTATGCTATGATGTAATACTCCAAGTTGTGCAAATGATATCGAATTTTCAATATCTTGCAGTATTGAATTTAATAACTCATACATATTAATAATTTGGATAATTGTATCTTTTATGTAAATACTATTTTCCCCTTTAAATTGGTCTTGTACCAATATGGTTATTATATCAATTTTACTAGCTAATAAATCTTGATTATGTTTTATTGTTTTTACTGTTTTATTGAATTTATCTATTAGCGATATTGCTAATGAATTTTGAGTTTTAATAGACTCTTTTAGTTTATTTTGATTTGATTGAAGCTGTTCAATCAGTTTCTCGTAATGTTCTCTATCACTGGCATCTAGATTTCCAGTGATTGCTTTAAATATAGAACCTACTCCATTTATTAATCCTCTTTTTATTCTTTGGGGATGCGGTATAATTTCATTTAATCTAATTTCTATTTTATCTTCTAAAAAGTGTAGTAATTTGAAATAATTTGAATTTTCTGTCCTATAAACTTTATTTTGTTGAACTGACTTAGTTATATTTTTAGATTTAGTTTTTAGTCCATCGATTTCGTTAAGTAAATGATTTAAATCATAATAATAAATTATTGAATGATAATATTTAATTACTTTTGCATTGCCAAGTTTTAAGGGTAAAAGTCCGGGATTTTCACTTAAATTTTTTAATGTTGTGTCTGGTAGTCCTAGTATACCAGGTAACCTGAAAAGATAAAATTTAGTTATCGAAAGAATAAAGTCTTTTCAGTGGGCGTTTAATATTACTCATGTGTATTTTGCCATGTTTTGAAGTGGTTACTGTTTTTCGTTTTTTATTTACTGATTTAATAGCAATTGGTTTCTAAAATTTATTAGCACTTTTCTGCCTTTTTGTATTTTTAATATATGCAGTGGGGTAAGGTTCAAATATTTTGGGGTCTTCACGATCTGTATTAATTTTTTCGACATAGTCTTTTTTATTTTCTCTTAAGAGTTCATTTATTTTAGTGTATAATATTTTTGTTTGTCTTTTATGTTGATTTACATAATCATTTAAAAGTAATCTGTCCAAATCTATATTAAATGGTTCATTGTCAGTAATATGTCCGTTTATAACGTCAATGGGTTTTAATTTCGTTGCAGAATGAATGGTATTATTATATGCTAAAATTGCATAGATTATTTTATTTTTAATTGGAGTATCTGAAAAACCTTGAGTATTTAGTAAGCGTAAATGCTCACTTATTGTAGAATGGAATCTTTCTATTATTCCATTAGATTCAGGATGATCTGGGGAACAAACGTGTATTTTTATTTTATGAAGTCCTAATAATTCTGTTAAAACTGAGTTTTTGAACTCTGTTCTAAAATTATTTGTTTAGGTATGCCATGATGGGAAAAGAATTTTATTAAATTATCTGTTACTTCTGTACCTGCTACCGCGTTTAAATAATAGACTTGAGCATATTTGGAAAAACTATACCACTGTCAAAAATTTTGCTTTTTCAAAAGTAAAAGTATCAATATGTACTATTCGAATGGTTTAGTTGCAGTGGGGGTGAGATTGATTTGCATTTTTATCATATTTACATTGTTGGCAAGTTTCGCAATCATTAATGAATGACTGTATTGATTTTTTCATATTGGGCCAATAGTACTTGTCTTTTATACGATTTAAAGTTTCTTCAATACCACGATGATTTGTTTTTCCTTCCTACTTTTATATGAACAACTATTCTAAACTGTTAACTATGCAAAATTGTATATTTAATATATTTTCCATTAGTATGGGTGATATAACTCGCTCATCACACTAGGAGGGTAGAACGTAGCTTTGAACAAAAAAAATGATGTGGCTTTTATTTCATAAAAAGTTATAACAAGAAACCAAATGTATCCATTATTAATATTTAATAAATTGATGTTCTCGAAAACATTATTTCTAACCTACGTCAAGATATTTGTTCGCAAACCACAGATTACAGCCTTACAGAAGACAGGAGACAGCAGAAAACATATATTTCCAAGCTGATTTAGTTGAGGGAACAGATAACCCTGAAGAAATTCTAGATATCGAGGACCATTAAACTTCAAATTTAACTGATTTTTAGGTTATGCGTGTTTTGTGTTATTTTATGTTATTATAAAACTGTGGCGAGAAATATTTAACTGCCTAGTTACCCCATGGGTCTTTACCTATTTATTCACTGTATTTCATTGTAATATAGTATGTATAAATGTTGTATGTTTCGTTTCGTAATTTGTGCAACCAAAGTATAGATATTTTTTGGGTCCCACTAACGAAAAAATTATTTTAGGTAAAGAAAAAATAACTAATTTAAAAATTATTTATGACTTTTACTAATTTATAAATTAAATTAAACTTGAAAAAAAAGAATTAATTGAATTACATAATACCTTTCTAGTATTCAATTCTGCTCTAATCTCATCTCCGTCGCCACACATAACATCTTAATTTTAATATTCGTAATATAAATTGATTTCATATTGTATTAATAAAATTTATGAATTATTTTTTATTTGTAAATATAAATAATATAAAAATAGAAATGCTATTATTTATCGATTCTACAAAGAATAACTCATTTTAATGTATAGGTATTTGATCTTAATAACTAAAAAATCTGATGTGTCCAACACATGACTTTCCTATCTAGTTATTATAGGCTTTTTCCGGTTATTTTGTACAACCTAGTGCAGCACTTCTATAAATATTTAGAGGATAAACTAAATATATATATTTTCCACATACATCTAACTCGACACATTTTTCTATAATATATATTCCATAAAATATAAAAACGGCCTCCCATAAAGTACCCCCCCAGATGTTCCGACTTTGTCCAAAATCTAATCACTTCACGTCAGGCCGAAATAAACCTTAAATTTAAAATTTAATGATTTTTCTTTATCCGTTTTTGAGTTTTCTTCAAAATTCGAAATTTACACATTTTTTCAAATATCTCGAATACGGTCCATTTTAGAGAAATTATGTATAGAATAAAAATTATAGAGAATTATATTACAAACAACTTTTATTTAAACAATTTTTATAAAAAATTATTTTTTTTTACATTTTGTCAAATTTCTCGAATACGGACCATTTTAGGAAAATTTTGTATAAAACAAAAATTATAGATAATTATCTTGGAAGTAACTTTTATTTGAAGAATTTTCTTCTCCAAACGTAAATAACAGATATATTCCATAAAATATAAAAATGACCACCTATAAAGCTGAAATAAAGCTTAAGTTTAAAATTTGGTATTTTTTTGTGTATCGATTCATGAGTTATGCGACACACACGCACGCACGCACCCACACACACACACACACACACACACACACACACACACACACACACACACACACACACACACACACACACACACACACACATCCCGAAAATAGTCAAAATGGATTCAGGGGACCCCAAAACGTAAAAATCCGTCGAAAACTGGAGGTCGAAAAAATCATGATTCCTATACTTTCCTTATATCTGTATACAGATAGGAAAGTAAACACACACTGAGAATTAGTTTAACAGAATTGTCACTAAATTAAAAATAAATAATAGTAGGCAGGTGACCAAAATATGAATAATAGGTAGAATGGATATGAAATATATTCGTTCAGTTGGACGAAATGGCATACTTTTTCGTTTTCTGGTCTGTCCATAGAATAGCTAATATCTATATGGGTGTAGAATAAGAATTATGTAATTCTTTTTTATGAACCACTAAAAATAGTAGAAAATACTACCATGGTTCATTTCCAGTGGTATAATTTAGTTCAATTAGTAACCATTTATTATAATTTCATTCCACTTAACCCAATATATAATTTTGGTTAACTCTATTCGTTCTATATCTATGATTAACTCTGTAGAAATAAATAGGTACTCCGTTGGATAGGCGATTAGGAGATTTAAAAAATTAACGATTGTGTCAATAGACTAACACTGGTGACGTGACGTGTCTTACATGTATTAGTTCAAGGGCTAATGACGAATTTGGAGAAAATATTTTAAGTAGAGTAAGTCATTAATTTTCACTAATGTGGCAATCCTTTATAAGAAAATATAACTCGAAAGTAATTTACCACAGAATTTAATTGTGTAGCGACTACTAGTTTCGGCTTTTATATGTTATCATCAGGCTTAAAAAAGTGGGTTGCAAAGCTATATAATTCTACAATTTGTGTAAAAACTTACCAAAAGGGGGAAGAAAATTTTTACAGAAAGTAAAAAATCTGATGTGTCCAACACATGACTTTCCTGTCTAGTTATTACAGGCTTTTTCCGTTTATTTTGTACAATCTATTGTCTCATCCCTGTAAATGTTTAGAGGATGAACTAAATACATACATACATACACTTTTCCCCAAAGTTTTCCGTTACCGTCTATTTTAGAGAAATCATGTATGGAAGAAAAATTATAGAGATCGATATCGCAAACAACTAAAGAATAGTTTTGCCGTATATATTAATCACATTCGGGACAGTCTGGTATTACTTCTGTTGAAATATTCTATGATTTTTATTTCTAGATTCCATAAATGCTAAGATAAAAAATTAAGATAATTCCAAGGTGTAATTGATTTCAAATTGCCTAAAATACCTTCCGCAAATTCGTCATCAGTTCTCCGACTATAACCTTTAAATTTTCCATCAAAAATTAAAATTGAAATAATGAATTTGTTCCATAAATTTGCATCCTACTGTACGTATCCATTATTTGATATACAAATTATTTTCCAGGAAATTACGTGTGTTGTGTATGTTACGAAATATCAGAACCAAATCCAAATTTTATCGTAGTTTATGATTTGCAAAGTGGTACGCTGTTCAAAAAATGGAAGCCATCTTGCAATACGGTTTCTATAGAAATAAGCTCACAAGGTGGCTGTGTCATATCTGGTCTAGAAGACGCCAGGATTCTTGTATGGGACCTCATAACTGGTAATTTCAAATAAACTTATCCAATCGTATATGATTATTTCTTTTCCTTTTTCAGGTAATTGTAGATGGTCTTTAAGTGGACATACAGCGCCAGTTACCACGTTAAAACTAGATCCTACAGGAGTTTTTTGCCTTTCGAGGGATTCCGAATGCAGGGATAGATCCATTCGTATTTGGGACCTTAACAAAGGTAAATCAACCAAGTGTTCCTTCATATTTCTATTATCGTAACATTTTTTTCTTCAAAGGTGATTTGGTAGCAGTTTACACACCGAAAACCAAGATAACTGCTTGTGAAATCACTTCGAATGGCCGATTCGTGGTTCTAGCTTTAGAAGGTTGCAAGAATCTGGTAACCCTGTCGCTGAGAGGTCCTAACGTTTCCGAAAGACCAGAAATCGAGACTTACGGTGACGCAGAAAATACCGGAAAAACGTTCATTTTGCCGGAAAACTGCTGACCTGCAAAATAGGAACTTAGTTTTCAATTGTCTGACGTTTAAATTATGCCATAACGATTTTTGAATCATTTAAAGAGTTGATGTACGGACACTGAGCAATAACAATTATTTCTTTTCAAATATAGTTTTTATTAATCATTTTTTAATTGGATGTAGAGACATCACAAAAGTAGAAGTACAATGGCAGTGCAAATGTGAAGGTTATTGGCCCTAATAATTTGATTCACCTTATTTGTATTTTCTACATTTTATTTATTTTACGTCTTGATCTCATTTGATTTTGGAATTATTTTCCTTATTAAAAATTGCTTGCCTGGGTTTTATCCCATCTAGTTTTTGAACTAACTGGGTAGTGCAAGCGAGCATGATTTTACCTAACATCTTTATTAATAAATAAAGCATTTCTAAATAGTTACCTATAAGTCATGCATCAGAATATTATTAGTTAAATTTAAATAAATAAGGTTAAATTTTGTTAAATCATTAACAATCCCAAAAACCATTGAAGTTGTGACAAGTCGTTGGCCCTTTAACGAATGTGATGGTAATTAACTGCCGTTAATTTTTATTTTTTAGTTGGGCCGTTTATGGCTTTTTAACTGTTTCCAACATGCAACTGTAAAATTGTTATGACCCTTTTAATATCTGTAATTAACTGCCCTTTAACCTTAAATTATTCAATGGGCCGTAGATGGCTTTTAATCGGTTTTTACATACAACTGTAAAATGATTATGGCCCCTTTTAAATTTGTAATTAATTTCCTTTAATCTTTAATTATTTGATTGTTTCTCATATGCAACGGTAAAATTATTATATTTCTTTTGAAATTTTTAATTAACTACCATTTAAATTTAATTATTCGAAGGCTTTTCAACTGTTTCCCATTATTAAAAAGAAAAATATATTGCATTAAGCTAATTATTATACAAAGTGACAAAAGAGAGCTAAAATTGAGGATTGCGCTATTAATACTCATAGTTTTCAAAAATAACTTTCATTTAATGTTACACGATACATTTACTTTAATCGCCCAGCATCATTTTTATAAGAGCCTTTTAAATGGAATTTAACATTATTATTATTATTATTATTATTATTATTATGCAAAACTGCTGGCCATGTGCAGGCCTATCACTACTTGTCTTTTAATGTTACGAGTTTTATGCAAGGCCACTGATATTATGGGAAACTACTTATTGCTGGTAAAGTGACGACGGCCTTCTGGCGTCCGTTGTGACAAAAAAGACGACTTACCAATGTCAGGCCATCAACAAAAAGCTACTACTTGAACTAACGTACATACGTTTAAGGGTAGATAATTTGCCATAACAAAATAATTATTAGGAAATGAAATATTCGTTAATATTTTTTTTTGGAAAACAGTAATGTTTAAGAAATTGATAGAAAAAGATATAGAGAATTTGTCATTCATTATAATGACGTTTCTATATTCAATCAAATTAATTAAATCTTTATTAAGTTTCATTTTAATGAGGTATTTAAATGTTTCTAATTTTTGTACATTCTTATGTTCTGATGAAGTATATTAAATAGCCTAATTCCAGTTATCGGTTCTTTGGTACAAATATTTAGATGCATAAATAATAATAATAATAATAATAATAATACTCTCCCTAATTCACCACCTTACGAGTGAATTTCAACCCCTGAAGTCGACTGAACGACTTGTGTAGGGGAAGGGACGGCTATTATTATTATTATGTGCCGTGGCGCTCCGGGGCAACTTAAGGATGATTGATGGTGCCATTTGACTTACAGGTGAGGAAAACCCGGAAAACCTCACCCACCATCATCGAGACGATAATGTATGGCGATTTTATAATCTGCATGTCATATCAATAGAAATTAAATTTCTATTAATACGGCACACATCAAATCCTAAACCGAACCATGCAATTTAATTAAAAATCCACATGGTCCGGTCTGGGATTCGAAGCCCAGCAGTCTCGGACTCATAAACTTGCCTATAAATGAATATAAGCGCGTTAGACCGTTACACCATCGACCCAATATGGTTAATATGTATTTGTTTTTTTTTTCTGCTGTTGTATGAATATTCAGTATTTTAAATTGTTTTAATGCAGATCGACACGAATTTATTGAAGAGGCGTCAACTCAACATCTTATGATCCTCTTTTGCGTTATACTTGGTCAGCATATAATGATCCGCCCTGTTCACTAATACCATTGTAAGTAGAGCTGGGCGATTATAAAAATAAATAATCGATTATATAAAATCGATTTTTTCGATTAATTGATAGAAAATAAACGAATAATCGAAAATAATCCAGTCATCGATTTTTTTTTGATTAATTAATAGAAAATAATCGAATAATCGAAAATAATCGATAATTCAAAAATAATCGATTAATAAAAAATTGGATTATCGATTTTTCAAAAAAAAAACAAAATTTATCGATGATTTTTCCCACCAAAAAAGTAATTCTTTGACTCGAGAATCTTTGATTTTGTTCTACAGGATGCGCAAAAAATACTATTGTGGATTTGCAAAAAAAATTAAGTCAACATTTTTGGAAGCGCTTTAATAAAAAAAACTTTTAGCTTTTTGTTTGCTACTTAAAAGCTCAAAAAAAAATTGTAATAAAATAAATATAATTTTGCAAATGCACAATTGTAATTTTTATTGCGCACCCTGTAACAACAAAATCGAAGTTTCTCGACATAAATCGCATTTATTTAACAAATAAAAGAAATTGAAAAATGACATTTTTGGAAAATTTTAAAATAAATACTTTTACAAGTATCTAATTATTTATATTTTTACTAATAAAAATTATATTTGAAAAGTCAGTCTCAAGATCGGGACATTAATTCTTACTTATTATTGATTACAGTGCGGTAAAACAACTGATGGGTAACTTACCAAGTTTGGTGTTAAATTAAAAAAAATCTTTAAAATTAAAAACAAAAACTTCCCGGTGTACAGAATGTCCAATTATACTGTAGCAATTTCGTGGCGGAGTGTTAAGGCGAGATTTTTATAATATCTCATTAACTAAAATTTTTGAGAAATTTTAAATATGTTGGTGTAATGTTACTATATCTTGAAAATGTTCGTCTAATACTTCGTCGGATAAAACTGCATAATTTAAAATACGTTTATCACAATTAATGTAGTTTAAAAATAGATTCAGCTGTTCCTACAGAATTACAAAATATTCAGAAATTATAAAAATATAATGAAAATAAATTAAAAAAAAAACAGAAATATATCATTAAAAAGATTATAGCCCAGTAAAATTACTAAAAATTTAGAAATATTTCTTAAAAATAATAAAAATTTCCATTCAATTAAACAAGAAATACTAAAGTAGCAACAACTGACTCTTACTCGTATCTTGGTCAATTTATTTTTTTAAGAGCGATCTGTGCTGGTTTCAGATCCAATAGGAGTTTTCTTTTAAAAAAATGATGTTATAATGTTTCGAAGAAAAAATACATAATATTTATAGTCAAAAATTCTGTTGACGACCATCTGCTGGCTTCAGATAAACAGGAACAATTTTCGAAGTAATATTATGGACGTTTGTTTAAAGATTTTATGAATTAGATGAGAAAAGTAAATTTAGATAGCATATACAAACAGATACAAAATTATGGTAAAGAGATCGATTTTAAAGTTATCTAGATATTTTTCTCATAAAATTCCCATTAATGTTTTTCAATCATTACCTTTAAGACACTATTCTAATAAAGTTTATTTATTTTTTAAAGTTATAATCTTTTTTTTTTTTTTTCGTATAATTCTGAATACTTTATTTATTGCGTTCTTAAAATTGAGTTAATTATTTTTTGTTACAAGTGCCATTTTACAAATAGAACATATTTAAAAAATCTTTATTTCTTACAAAATGTTATTAATTAGTTTTCTAAGGTTTCTTTAAAGTACAAATGAAATATGACACGGTTAAAAATAATCTATTTTTTAATGTATCTGATGTATTTAAAACCTAAGAGAATAGTTTGTTGACTCTACGTAATAAATATATTTTGAACGCCACTGCAAGTCACAGACTTTTTTTGGTTTGTTCATGTTTTTTTTGCAACATCACGATCTTTATATGCCGCGTTTGAATATCCACATCCGATGCATTTTTTACATCTCGAGCGTTTGTTTATCCACATTGGACACATCTCACATACTTTGAATACTTTGATTTTCTTTTACTATACGGAGAATGGTCGCACTGCGCAGTTTTCTGAGTGCCTTTTAAAAGGAGATAGAAAACTCCGCCATTTTGAACCCTTATTACGTGTTGCCTACATCTTGGCGCAATATTTTTAATAGGTGCGTTTTAATCATTCGCTTCTGCTTCGGAATTGTCGGTTTTCTTGTTTTAATCTGACAGGTTAAAACGACTAAACCGACAATTCCGGAAGCAGAAGCGGATGATTAAAACGCACCTGATATTTTGCTTGCTGCTGTCAATGTCAGTGAATATTATTTTTGAAGTCACAGTTTATTGCTAAAGAATCAGTTAGCTCACTCGGACCAGTTGAAAATTCCAAAATAACATCCACTTCAGGGATACAAATTCAGGATACGCAGAAGACTGCTGTTTTATTATAGGTGGTTGTCATATATTGTATTATCCGAGTTGCACAGTGTATAAACTGAAACATTGAGATCAAAAGTGCCGACGCAGAGTGAGCGATCTGATTCTTTAGCTGTAAACTGTGTCACAGGGTTCAAAATGGCCGCGCCCTATGTTGGGCATGTCGAACCTCTCTCTTGCCTCGTATAGTAATCAAAGTATGTGACACATCTACTACATCTACATCTGCGTTTGTTTATCCGAGATGTACCTGACCAGATTACATTTTTTACATCTCGATTTGAAATGAGATGTGAATGAGATGTACGTTCCATGCCAGAAAGTAAGTGTTCTGTGAAGCCAAGTTTGTCAATTTATCCTTTGTTTCTGCTAGTATGAATATAAAAGTGATTAGTTTGTTTAATTTTTGTTTAGATTTCAAATTTAGGTTGATTTGTAGTCTCAAAAATCAAATTTAAAAAGTATAAGCTTCTAACTTGTCATTGTCATTTTATCACATGACCAATAAAGTCTAGAGCGTTTGTTTATTACATCTACACAACATCTCAGATGCATCCGATGTGGATATTCAAACGCGACAATGTATCTCGTACATATAAGGTCTTTTCCTTTGCATCGAAAGTGTAGCACTGAGCTACGTTATTTCTGAAAATAGTGTTCCATCCATACAATTTGTATAAATGGAACGATATTTTCAGAAGTGGTGTAGCTCGGTCCTACACTTTCGATGCAAAGGAAAAGACCTATTTATAAATACATCTCGCACAAATGTTCTGGAAAATTCTCCGCTCCATACCATGTGTACAGTAACAAATTCTATTGTCAATGAACTTGATATATTTAGTTACAATAGGTCTTTTCCTTTGCATCGAAAGTGTAGCACTGAGCTACGTCACTTCTGAAAATATCGTTCCATCCATACAATTTGTATAAATGGAACGATATTTTCAGAAGTGGTGTAGCTAAGTGCTACACTTTCAGATATAAAATCCCACTTTTTATCTTAGTTCATTTGTTAATTTTGTTACCTATTACGAAATACAAGTTCTTTTTATGTGCTTAACATTCATATAAAAAATTGTGATTTATTAATAATTATATTCTGTCAATTCCTGCTCTGTAGACAAAACGGTGGAATCGATCCTAATTGTGTTTATGACCGGTAGAGTATTGTATTATAAATAAATAAAAATAAATAAATATTTAAATATCTTCAAACCTCTGAACTTCAAACTACAAAAATTGTATATAGAAACAACAAAAAAGAAAACTTTTTGCCGATGTATCAAAATATATTACCAGTAGTGGTGATTAGTGACCGAAATATCAAAATAATTAAATTTTTTATTTTCATTGCAAAAATGAAATTGAGTGAAATTACCTATTCTCTAGGTCTTAAAGACATTTGTACAGATGTACAACTCTAAATTTTTAAGTGACTAATATATCCAGTACTGTACCTATTATGCGGATACTAAATTAGCCTTTTACACATAATAGGTAGGTGTGTAGGTACGTACTAACCATACCATACCTACTTAAACTACAGTCAGAGGATATTTAGGCACGATGTTTTTATGAAAACTGTGTAATCTGAGTAACGTACAAATCAATTTTTATTCTATTTATTGCTAATTATACTATTTTTGATTACAATCGATTTTTTATTCTGAATTTGAATTAGACTGAATTTTTGATAGATCCAGTGGTGTTCACTGAATTTGTTCTATTATTTTAAAAATAATTATAAGAAATTATTTCCATCTGGTATGTGAAACAATATTGATCAAAATATTATATTTGTATGTTGTGGACCTTGTGTAAAAATAAATGTAATGAATAAAAATCGAATTCAATTTTTTTTATTCCCTTTTATAACTTTAAGACCTTTATTTTTACGCGAATACAGAGGGGGAAGGAAAGGGCAGTTCACACAGGATATTCCAATATATAGTCTTGTGGTGACGCAATTATTATTATTTAAGAGCTTTATATTGTTATTATCCAATAAATATTAGGACTAATTAAGTATTTATAGTTGAATAATAGTACATATTATATACCTAGGGTGAGAAAGTGAGCTATTATTTACCGAGCAGCTTTCTCAGCCGAAGTATATATAGAATTGTTTTTACTACTAACATTAATATATTAGCAATTTTAATTTTGATATAAGTAATTTCCTAACAATTTGTTAAATATTTCGAAATATCAAGCAGAGTGGAGCGTGTTTCTAATCAGACTGGCTTTATAATGTAAAAATTTGGCATGTGTCAAATTTTGATATGATTCTAGGAAATATCCATAGCCCTCAGAAGGTCTAGATACCGCATCGTAAAAACATTTTGACCCCACATATGATGGGCGCCATGATAAATAAATGTCAATTAATTTTAAGTTGGCACTTCTGACAAGACAGAATCGGCACAAGTTTAGTAATAAGCGTAAGATCGGCGTTCGACGTATATAATCGATTTTATTATCTGTTGTGTTGTTTATTTTGTTCTTCTAGTAAAGGTTTTATTTAAAACATTATTTTTTAGTTTAGTCGTTTAGTATTTTATTTTAATAAAAAACATTTGTGGTTTGGTGTTAAATTTTTACAGGATTTTCAAAATCTCTTGTTGTTTTGTACGTGAATTGCATCCAACAGTAGAAGATACAAGGCAGGAATAACATTTCACATGTAAGTTTTCAAAAATATTTGTATATTTTCAAAATCAAATAATTTGTGTTTTGTTGTAGCATACCAAAAAATTTTAGGAAAGAATAACTGATAGCCATAGGAAGACCATTGAATCATTTTGTGACTTTAGTATAAGCCCAGAAAATTTGGGGATACTAGCTGAAACGGCAAATGTGTTATTGGCTCCTTGTTAATGACCTATTGTACAATTTTTCCAACACACGTTCCATGATCCTTTGAACTTGCCTGCACCGTACTGATGAAGACCAATAGTCAGAAAAACGTGTCGACCGTAACTTCTTTTTTACTTTTTTTTATTCGGAAAATGTCCACTATTACTACCTTGATACAATAATATTAGTTCCGTTCTAAGTAGGTACATATTATAGTTTGTATGTTTTATGCTTTATTTTATTACATGTAATAAATGATAGGAAATATACTTTTATAGTAAATAAATTGATTAAAGCAATATGTAAGAATAAGTTTATCTAAGGATTAAATTGTTAAAAATTTTCATATCCATTGTTTATTAATATGTTTCATTTAATTTTTTCTTATTGAGTAAGTTATTTCATATAAATATGCGATACTTGTAAAATGTAATATTTTCTTTTAAATAGGTATATATTATGTTTGTATAAAATATTGTTCAGTTAATAAAAACAGAAATATTTTGTCTTTTATTCAAAAGAAGATTGTAAATTTTTCAAAATATATTTACCTACCCCAAAAAAAGATTAATAAAACCCGTTAGTCATATACACATTTTCTATATATTTATAGAGGTACTTTTTAAATAACTTTCAATACATTCGAAATCTGTGGTTTTATTAAACTCAATGTAACAAATTAATAATAATAGGTATTCTCAAAAATATTTAAAAATAAAATCGAGATGGGACTCTTGTATAATTTAGTGACTATTCGCCTATGGTTAGTGCACTGCTGTATGTCCCTGGGTTTTCTACATTAGAACAATACTGCTTCTCCACTCTAGCAGTATTTTTTGCATCTCACAAGATTATATTTATTAAAAAACCAAGGAATTGTTTTGGGCCTATTGCTGTGCCCTTTTCCAACATTCCCAAAGTTTTTTTTTTACTTTCTGCTGATTGGATCTCCGATAGCGACAACTCCATTTGTTGTTCCACTAGTTTTTTATCAAATTTTTAAAATAACTTCTATATATTTATCTTTTGCAACGACATTGCTTACCTGCTTCATAATCTCTTCCCTATGCCCCAATTTCTCTAACATGTGAGATCTTATACTCGCTCTATTAAATCAAATTATCATTATAGTTTATTTGAAAATGCTTGGTAGCACAGTTTTTATAGCAAAGGTCCATATTTTTATATAATTTTGCTATTATTCATTTTCAAATAAACTATAGGAATAGGAGTAATCTATTAGTTTTTCTAAAAATACCTTGTTACCGATGTAAGTATATCTTTCCCTAGTTAAAAAATTCGAGTTTTTATTTTCATAATATAAATAAATGACCGGTTAACAATCACATTCTTTTAAATAGTACATTTGACATTGAAGTAAGTATTTTCTCCATATTGGCAAACAGGAACAGATGGTTTACTTATAATTTGAATTATATTACATAAATCTCACTGAATTTCTCTATAATTCTCATAGCAATATGTACACAAAACACTTATCCAATAATATATATATAACCATGTAAAAATAACATTTCAAGAACGAGAAAATTTATAAAGCCGGTCCTGTCTGAACAGATCTAGAAAAATCAAATAGGTTTGTCAAAGTTTTGTTCTTAATTTGAAATTAGAAATTGTGCGTCTCACTCACTTATAACTAATAACAAAGTGCAGATTATCGGTGTTCACGTATTACAGAACACACAAACTAAAAATCAGTGTAGCCAAAACATAAATTTACCTAACATGGCGACAAGCTTGAATGACTTGTTTCTAGAGACACCAATTTTCCACTTTGGCTTTCGAGCTTCCGCATGCGCAGAGATTTATTTCACGTTTGATTGTTTTGTTCTGGTAATTTGTAGGTTAGGTTATGTGTTTTTAGGTTAGTTAACCAGTTAGCGGTAGGTATTTATTATTTAGCGACAAAAAATTCATTTAAAAATGGTTGCTACTTGTGATATATGTAGAACCACATTTAGCAAGGAAAGTAATTTGAGAGTGCACGTTAAAAAGTTCCATCCTGGTAAGTAGAGCTTCTAGTTTCGCTTAATTTATAATTTAGGTAGATATTGGTTTATTTACATTTTTAATTGTTCATCTTAAATTCGACGTTTATTTAAGTAGGTATTTGATTATAATTGTCTAAAATTTATTTTCAGATCAGTTAAGCAAATTAGCCCCATATAAAACATACAAACCAGCAGCCTTCTGTAATGAATGCCAAAAAACTTTTGTGAAATATTCAAATTTAGTTCAGCACGTAAAGCGTTTCCATCCAGGTAATAAATAATATTTTACAAGTTTTTATTTAACTAGTCGAGTTAGTTTTTAATCATTAAACTGCTACCTCTGTAATGATAAAAATAGAATAATTGATTAGCTGTACTTATAAACTTTCACCTATTGCAGATAAAGAAAAGCAGTTGACAAAACCCAAAAAGTACACACACCAATGTGACAAATGTAAAAGAAATTTTAATCATCTAAAACATTTAAAAACCCACTACAAAAATAACCACAAAGAAAGTACTAGTTCAAACAGTCTTTTGTTAAAACGATCAACAAAAACCTTAAAATGCAGTATTTGTGGCTTTACAGACTTTTCCAGGAATCAGATATATCAACATTTTCAAAACTTTCATGATATAATAATTACCACAAAATCTATGGAATTTGAAAACAATGATGCCTTTACACTTTGGAAAACAAAGGAAGAAAAGGACACATGTTCTTTTTTTTATTAGTGAACATGGGTGGTATACAACTGAGAGTTATAAAATTTTAAAATATGTTTGTCATCGATCTGGATATTATAAAAATAAAGGAAAGGGAACAAGGCATATTAAAACACAAGGGACAAAAAAAATAAATGGGTTTTGTCCTGCTGGAATAAAACTTACTATATGTCGCGCATCAGGAAAATGCCTTGTAGAATACACTAAAACACATGCAGGACACGGATCTAATAATTTAGGGCATTTGACTTTAACAAAAACAGAAAGAGAGAGTTTTGCAATGAAAATTGCATCAAAAATTCCATTTCAGACTATCTTGGATGAAGTTAGGGATTCCGTTTACAATTCAGAACTGGATCGAACTCATCTTTTAACCAAAAAGGATTTGCACAATATTCAGCAAACTTTCAATTTAAACAATGAGGCTATAAGACATACAAATGATGCCGTCAGCATAGAATTATGGGTCAAAGAGGTCGAGAACAGTGGATGTGTGTTATTTTATAAGCCTCAGGACATTACTCTATTAGAACATACAAATTTGAAAAAAAAAGATTTTATCTTAATTGTTATGAATATGGGCCAATTGGAAATGCTTGAAAAGTTTGCTGATGATTGTATATGCATAGATGGCAGCCATGGCCTCAATCCTTATGATTTTCAGTTACAAACACTTTTAGTTCTGGATGATTTGCGGGAAGGATTTCCTTGTGCATTTTTATTTAGCAATCGGTCAGATGAGGAAATTTTGTTTTTATTTTTTTCATGTATTAAAGACAAATTGGGAAGACAAATAAAGCCACGAGTATTTATGTCAGATATGGAAAACACATTCTATAATGCATGGGTACGTGTTATGGAACCAGCAGACTTTCGGTATGTATGTATGTATGTATGTATGTTGCTATAAACAGATAAAGATTGATTTTTTTGTGTTACAGAATTTATTGCACATGGCATGTAGACCACTCTTGGCGTAGGAATCTAAACAAAATTCATTCTAAAGAAAAACAGGTAGGTGCTTAACTATGTATAGGAAATTCTTTGAAGTTACATGTGTTTATTTTTTTCATCTCAGGTCATGGTCTACAAACAACTT